ATAGATTATAGAATATGGATATATACGATGTATGGCACACACACACACACACACACACACACACACATACACACTAAGCACACACACACACACCCACACACACGACACACACTGCACACGCACCACGCACACGCACACGCACACGCACACTCGCCGACGCACACGCCACGCCACACGCACACGCACACGGCACACGCACACGCACAACGCACACGCATACACGACACACACAGCAACACACACACACACACACACACAATATATACACACACACACACGCACACACACAGCACAACATACACACACACACACGCGCGACAGCACACACCACACACACACATACATAATACCACACTACACAGCACACACAAACACCACACACACACATCATACACACACAGAAGAGAGAACACGCACCACACCACGCACACATACACACACACACACACCACGCACAACACAACACACACACACACACACACAACAGCACACCACACAGATAATATATATAGTATATATATATAATATATATATAGTATATTATATATAATAATATATATGCATAAGTAGGTATGAGGTATAACAAGAAAAGGAAGTACCTCAGCTTAATATGTTAGAATGACATGAGCCTCGTTCACACGAGACCTCGCATATTTATGAAATATCGGTATTGCCAAAATACCGTATCTGAGACAATACGCGGACGAGCGATTCACACGACTGATTTGTGGCCCAGAAACACGGTAAGTTTGCGAGCGCGAGCTGCCCTTTAAACAAGCAGCCGAACAATACGAATAGCGACAATGCAGCATGCGGCACATAGCGTGTCCCATAATAATACGTGCGTATGGATCTGGTCCAGCCGCTCGACCATGGTTCCACTCGCGTTACAGTGAACTGTCGAGCGCGGAGCAGTCTATAAAGTACGCGCCTTAGAAATCCGGTATTTAGCGGTTGCACACGCGAGGCAAGAAATGTCGCGGTCAAAGAGATCCGAGCATTCTCAAAGCACGGCACAATTATTTGGGTGTTCTGCGGAAGCGGATTAGCACTCAAATCGTGGCATCCTGTTTAGATACCGTATTCGTTGGACCGCGCATTTTGGCCTCGTTTCCGTGAACGCTAAAATACCGGATCTTCTTGCTACTGTGACGTCGGCTATTATACTACTAGCCTCAGCCTAATGCTTCATTCGATGTGGAGTTATCCACAGCCCAACTCCTTGGGCGATCGCCTTGCTCGTTCTCACAAACGATCCGCAACCGCTTCTTGTGAGGTGTCGCGACATCGTCACCACCTGCGCTGGTTAATTACAGGTGTGTACTTTGGGCGATGAAGATCGTTGGACCTTCTTCACGATGGGCACCGTTATCCTTTGCGCGCCTTATTGATGTCGGACGTGCCATGGTAACCAGGACCGCGCGGCCGGGCGGGCGCTGCCATTCGTTCATAGAAATAAGCGGCTCATAGAAGTAGAACGACCTCGCGGATGCGGTGATGAAGATCTCACCGGTCAGCGACGCCATCGCCTTCGCTGGATTTTCTGGGGGGCTTGTTAAGAAGGAAACGATGTCAGTCTTACCGACTTCTCTATGGCTTGGAGGCATGATGAATGATGTCGATAATTCTCTCTCTCTCTCTCTCTCTCTCTCTCTCTCTCACACACACACACCCACACACGCGCGCGCGCGCGCATACCTCTCTCTGAGACACATACACACTCCCTCTCTGGTTCTCTCAGATTTGTGAGCACACTAAAAGCTATAAAGGGCTTCGCGAATTTTCAAATTACCCACAATGCAACGCCGCCGGCCATGACGGTTCCAGAAACCAGTTCAGGCATGGTACAAGTACATTGAGCAACGCACTGTTCTCTGCTTATTTTATTCGCCTATTAAGCGAATCCACCACAACGCCGCTCTCCTGCGGTGTTGTCAACTGCAGCAATCGGTATCAGAAAGTACCACACAGCTTTTTTAGGCTGCTTAGCGTAATCACAACACAAGGTAAAGTGACGAGAGACAAGGCGGACCACAGACGCTTGAAGCATTTTTAATAAAAAAACAATGCTGAATAAACACGAAATGTATTTTCTACCAATGTCTTAATGTTTCTCTACTCTCTTTCGCCTAGTATTGCCGATAATTACCTGTAAATGCCGGCTAAATGCTCCTCTGCAACACACAGGTACACCGCACGCACGGCGCACGCTGCTTAACATTTACACTTATATACATATATCGCCGGCATCCAGTAGGCAGCTGTTTGAATGGGGGTGGTGATTTCTCTTGCACGTGCAGCATACTCTACATAAAATAGCACCGAAGCAACATGTGAACAGAATTCACCAAACCCGGCTTTACAATTACAGTGTGCTGACATGATATGCCTGTCCCATATTCTCTCATCGTGATTCATGCACGGATGGAGAGATGATATAATCAGAGACTGGGAGTGCATAACACGTGCTCGGATAACGTAGATGGGTCTCTCTGTTTACATTATACATGTAGACTGATACACCACTAACCCAACAACAGAACAGTCGATCGTAGGCATTCAAGCTTTTGTGGTTCTGAAAGTTCTTGAGAGTATAAAATGGACTCGGCTAGAATGTTAGGTAGTCAATTCACGAGATCCTAATAAGTACGTGATGGGCACAAATTGTGGTCTTCGCTCCATTCTCGTACGGGTGTCGATTCCCAATGCACGCAATTTTCTCGAGATAGCGTGCTTTGGCTACATTGTCTAGTGAATAAAAGTACTTGTCCATACTACGTACACTTCCGACAGTTGGCAAATGTGCATACACCAGATATTATAAAAAGCTGCGTTTGATAGCTATATGCAGTAAAATCGGTGAAATTTCTGAACACTCGCGATGTAAACAAACTCAAGTCCATGATGATGATGATACTAAAGATTTGTAAGAATTTGAATGGTTTAAGAATACTAGGAAAGTACGGCGTGAATAAGTCGACACAAATGCTTCTCGAATTTTGTGTCGCGGTAGGTTAGGTGAACGATGTCTGCCTACAATTGACATGTGTAAATTGAATTTGATCCGTACCGCAGATAATGACGAGAGTGTGTGCTGAGTGCCTTACAGCAGCAGCAGCAGCAGCGCCATCTTGCGTGGTATATGGCTCTGATTGTCTATCGTCTCCGAACATTGCCTTCCGTACATATCCTATGTCGTGCATGCAGATCAAATTGAAAGTAGCAGTTAGCAGAGCTATAACACCACTGTATCACGGTTCTGGTATTATTGTTCGCAGTTGAATCGGTGAAGGTGCAAAAAAATCGCGAGAGTGGAGAACAGAATCACTTGAAACGTCAGAAAAGTGTTCTAATATAATCACAGGCGAGCGTAGAAAAGGGGAGACTTACCAAGCATCTAAACATTCTAATATGCTACTAGATGTCATACCTACACTAATATTCTACATAAGGATGCCGCTATTACGGTGCCCGTGCTGATAAGCATTATTACTAATGATCACTTATATCCAATTAACACCTATAAAAAGAATACCGCGGGGCATCGGCTAGGCCCAGGACTACTCTTACCTGAATGAGGAGCTTTATAAGAGAGCTGGTACGATGGCGTATGCCTCCCACTAATCAGCCAGCCGACAGCGTCAGCAGCAGACAACCGCAGCTTTTCTTCGTTTCATACGGTGTATCAGCATCGCCCTTCATCGAAACACACACCGCGCAATCAGAGCCAGAATAGAACAGGAGTCATCGCTCTCTGCTTTTACAGCTCCGGTTCCCGGGCCAGAGACTGGCGGGGTTGCGGGGGGGGCAGTCAGTCACAGGCCCACTGGGCGACAGTCAGCCGTAAAACCCTGATATATTAAGCTGCGTTCACACGAAGCGAGAAAAGGTTGCGTTCACCACAGCTAAAATATACGCGCGCTGCTAATGCCACGGTCCTTGCCTTAAGCGCGAAATGCTCCGCTGGCTAAGCGCGGAATCACATCGCCCGCCCATCTAAGCCGCGGCTATTTATTCGGGCACCACGCCATGGCCGCGTATTCGCCTTCACCTAGACTGCGCCTACCGTTCCGCCCTGCCCAACTGACGTTAGATGTAGCGTGCTGAACTGTTCGACCGAGGTACCAGTCTATATTAATCCTGTGCTAGGCTAAGCCTCGAATCTCGGGTGTGAACTCGTCGCTGAACGCCATATTTACCAGAACTTAGCACCAACGGAAGTAACTACGGCTCCAGCTTAGGCCGTGTATTACGTGTGACGACAAGCTATAAGCGCTTAAATTTTCAAGATATCGCCTTCTTCTCCTCCTCCTCCACCGCGCTAGCGAGCCAATCCGGCGCCTTGTATGCCAATTTAGTCGCCAAAGATTAAGCCCCACGATCTGCAGTCGGCGAAATAAAAATCACGCTAGTGCGCTGCTGGGGGGATCAACCGATGACGAACACTGAGCTTGAATGACATGGCATGCTTCCCAACAACCGAAGATGTATCTTCGACATCGATGATGATCGATGATTGGTGATCGAATATCGATGATGTAAAATGATTTAGAAGTACCCGTGGTGTTCATTTTTTATCATCTATATATTGCCTTGCTCTCTTCTTTTTTCGGTTATTGTACGTTTAGTTTATATATCTCATCCGGTCTATATATTGCGTGTTTTCTTTTACTTCTAGCTTTTGTTCTTAACATTCTCTCATAGTTTCGTATACTTCTAATGTTATGACGTTGTCCGGATGGAAAGCGAAGCGGAGTGGATAGCTATATAGGAGTCCTGCTTCCTCGCCGTGCTCGTTAAGGGCGAGGGGAGTGTTAAAGCAACCAGGTTTCGAATAAACTAGTCACGACGTGAGCAATGCTACCGTTTGCTCCCTTCGCTACCGCTTCCTTATCTTCGCTCGACACTCGGCGCGCCGACTTGCGCTGTGCTGCAGTGGCACTGAGAGACAATGTCGACCATAACAATGTATTGACTCTGTTAAAAGGGAGAGAAAACCGGAAACCTGGACCGAGAAGCAGAAATTCAAAAGGCGGGGAGGTCAACAGGGCGGCCGAGGCATACGAATGGAGGTCTCAACTGACTGCACGATATGCTGCCGGTAGATAGATATACCCCCAACAATCCAAAATCGGGTTAAAGAATGATAACAGGAACCAGTCTAAGCCTCTAGAGGCTTAATATCATTTTTGTCCGATAGGCGCGTTCATGAAGAATCGTGTATGATGATACATAAGTTTATATACGTCGGTGTCTCTGTCGCAGGCTGATTATAGATAAGAATTGATAATAAGCACGTGATATCAGAGCTAATAATACCTTATTATTATTATTATTATGTATTATTCTTTTATTTTTATTTTAATAGGCGTGGCTGTTGCGTCCAGTTAGCCGGCACGCCCAGCTCCCAGCGCCTACACGGCTCGCGTCATCCATTTCTTATGTGAACCCAACTATATTTCTTTTCAGTAAAAAACCCTAAACAACAACTTTTTACAATATTATTACTTACGTTTAAGTATTTTATAAAAAAACCGTGTTTTCGTAACTTTTGAAACAATAGTAAATCCAGTAAAATCAACGATTTGAAAGGGGGCGTGGCCTAATCGTGACGTAGATTTGGGGCACTGCCATGACATACACGCTATGCACCGGTACGGTTTTTGTTGTGAAGCAGTTTAATAATTAGTAGAAGTCTCTACAAAATCTACCACAAACAATGCAACGCACGCGTTTCCACGCAACAATTTGTTACTAACCTGATAATCTCGTGTGAAATGGATGACCGGACGCGTAGCCTGGGAGCTGGGCGTCCGGTAACCGGACGCGTAGCCACTGTGTTTTTATTAATACCCTGTTATTAGCTCTTGATTATACGGTGCGCATGAGCAACAGACGTGAATGTTGCATTATCAGTCAGACGCATTAGAAATGTTCCTAACGTCTATGCCGGCAGTACACGTTATGCTTTAGCTCACAATATTTCGAATATTGAATGATTATTGCAAATCTTATACGCCGCACTGCTGCTAAGCCAGCAGTATCTAGATATCTTATAATTACACTTTGAACACGAACCTTGTTTACGTGTACCCACGAGCCCGGTTTAGTTATTTTTTTCAGTTCAAAAATAAAAACTTCGAACGATACAAACTATCTTTGAAGAACATTTTTTCCCAGATAATCACGACCATACATCCTGTATCAGTTCTTTCATGACGAATAGTAAAAAAAGAGCTAACTACACACATGCGCGCACACACACGCAACACATAAAAACTTATATATAAACACTTCAGAAAAAAACTTTGATTATTAAAAATATTATTTATATACAAAGCATGGTTTACTAAAAGCAGTGCGTTCCACCTGGATACCTATCTATACACGGAGGAACACGGCCAGTGTGGTATAATGACTTTTTTCAATAGTGGATGCTTTTGGTATGTCCTAAAGTAATGTGACATTAGCTTTTCCCCCTGCGGTACTTTTCTACCCACCGTGACACCACGCTACCCACCGTGATACCATGCTACCCACCGTGACACCACGCTACCTCCTGTGACACCACGCTACCTCCTGTGACACCACGCTACCTCCTGTGACACCACGCTACCTCCTGTGACACCGCGCTACCTCCTGTGACACCGCACTACCTCCTGTGACACCACACTACCTCCTGTGACATCACGCGACATCACTCTGTGTCTCCCGCTCCCGCTATAGCCATAGATGTCGCTAGCCTGACGCGGCGGTGACGTCACTGAATCAGCGAGCCCGTGAAGCCGTCCTCACGTGACAGCCTGCCCGCCGGCCGCCGCCGCCGCCGCGGTGACGTCACTGGATCAGCGAGCCCGTGAAGCCGTCCTCACGTGACAGCCTGCCCGCCGGCCGCCGCACGCAGCCGCAACAGCTCGCGAGCGCCGTCTTGATGCTCATGCTCGTTGCTATGACGATGACGGGGTCGAGCACCGCCTGCAGCTTAATGACGAGCGCGACAACGGCCGACACAAAGACGCCGTCGTCGGAACCGTCGTCGGCGGCGACGACGAGCAGTATGTGCTGGATGACGTACGGCAGCGACGTGAGCACGTGCACGGCGAGCATGACGCCGACGAGACGGTTCTTCGCCTGCTGCTGCGCGGCGCTCAGCGACTCGAGCGGTGGCGCCCCTTGGCAGCCAAAAGCGCGACGCAGGCTGCCGCACGTTGCCGACAGGCCCTCGGCGATCTTCTGCAGGCTGCTGCACTTCGTCACCGCGCGAGGGCGCTGCTCGTCGCGCAGCGATCCGTACAAGACGGCGCACGGTGCGCCGCCGATAGATGGCAGCACGTTGCAGCTGCAACTGCGCCGCAGCGGCGCGGCGATTTTCACCGTCGGCCGAAGATCCGTGAGCTCGAAGCTGTGCACGTCGACGACGGTGGCGCCGACCAGCGGCGTTCTTCTCTTACAGGTAGCAGATGGCGCCACCAGCTCTGTCCGCGTCAAGCAGTTCGACGCCGACAGAAGCACGGGTGCGTCGGCTGGTTTCCCTGCTGCGCGCGCACGCTGCGGCCTGCTACCGACCAGCGGTCGCCACTGCACGCGTGCCGACGTCTCAGCCGACGACGACGACTCAGCCTGCATCGACGTCACGTCCGGAGCAGCACCGTCGGCGCTCCCGGCGCCCAGCTGCTTCCCCCTACCGCCCCGCCGACCGGCAGCCATCTTTCCCGGCGGACGCAACGACGTCGCCGCTCGTCCGTTGCCGACCACTTCAACGACGCACTCGTCGCTTCCCCTCGCGCTCCGACCAACCGACAGCATCCGATGCGCCACCTGCTGGGCGCGCACCGACACCGAGCGGGCGGCGGCGAGCGAGGCGCGTCGCTGCGACGTCGTCATCGTCGTCGTCGTCGGCGGTGCGCGCGCGTGCGGCTGCACGACCCGCCCGCGCAGCGTGCAGATAATACGAACTCCCGTCCACGTCTTGACGATCATCGGCAGAGCGAACATGACGACGTAGACGACGATGTCGTGCGGCAGCTTCCAGGAGAAGTCGGCCCGGCAGACGACCGGCTCGTCGGCTGCGAGATCGAAGTCGACGCTGACGGAGCGGCTGTAGAGCGCGAACGGAGCGGCGACGAGCAGCGGGGTGACGTTCGTGGCAACGATGATGTACATCGCGTGGCGCTTCGTACGGTACTTGAGCGACTTGAGAGGATAGACGACGGCCATGTACCTGCGCATGTACGACACATGGAAGTAGTAGCTCCATATATGTATATAATTATATGTATATATATATATATATTTATTTATTTATTTATTTATATATCCACGCATGCACGCACACAAGCACGCGCACACGCACGCGCACACGCACGCACGCACGCAGCGCACACGCACGCACGCACGCACACATCTATTGTTTTATACTGCGTAGCTATATGAGGAAGATGCAATGATAGAGGAGGAGAAATGAACGAAAGCGGGTGAGGAGAGAGAGAGAGAGAGAACGATTCAAGTGCAAGAGAGAAATAGAGACGAGAAGGAGACGAAATAACGGCAAGCGTGAAGAAAAGATGGCAGCATGCACCGACCAATGGTCGGACTGATATCTTACCGCTCTAGAGAGATAGGTATTAGCTTTATGTTGGCCAGATAGAGTAGCACTCTAAAGACGTATCCAACCACCTTACAGCTTCTATCATTGTAGAATGTCGGAATACACTTCACAGTAATCAGGTAGAAAAGCGTGAGCGTAACTATGAGGAAATTTGTCGTCTGCAAAAAAAGAATAGCAGCGGTGATTAACATAGATATTAATAAAAACAGTTCGTGTTTTATTTCCCGATATTACTACAGTAATCCAGATCCGTGTTTCTAACCTTTTTTGGTTTATAATGGTTATGGATGTGCCAGAGACCGTACGCAATTCTATTCGGTCTTTGACTATGGTTGAGTTATTTATCAATGGCGCGGTTGGCTACAGGTACATAACTTGCCCCAAAACCACCAGTACTTGGTTGATAAACGTGTAAAGGTTGATCTACACGTGGAAACGTTAAAATGGACTACGTACTACACGCTTGTCATATCCACCTGTGTCCGTACCTTCGCTCGTTTGAGCTTACTCAAGGTTATTACTCAAGGTTATTAATGGGTTGAAAGGCCTCCTAGCTTATGAAATACGCATGCCCAATCAAATTCTCGTGATTGTAAATCTTTCGTTGTCAAGCCCAACGCAAATCCTATTAAACATTTTTTATAAAGGCCATAATTATGAATAATATCATTAATCGATGATCGATTATCGATGATCAGTCAACGTTAATTTATTAGCGTTCATAATACATTTTAGCATGAGGCGATGAAAGCCTACTAGCTTATGGAAAGCGCAGACGCCACTGTTATGTATGACTAATTGTGATTTACGGACGGTAGCTGAGTTGCCATTCATTACATTCGCCGATAGCTGAATCCAGCTCATAAAACTAAAAAAAAAATGTTTTTGTTCTGATAAAAATACAGAAATAAGTGATATAAGATTTTAGTGACATCTAATTGACCGGATATGACCTCTAGGTGACCTTCATAAGTGGCTGCAGAGTTGGTGGATGTTGTTGTATTCTTAAAGGTATGGCGTTCCCCTCGAATCGTGTACCGGGGAGAAATACACATTTTTCCGGAAATAGCCGAACGGTAGTAGGGCGCAACTTCGGGATCGCACGGGTCCATAATACACATGTGTACACATGTATACGCATTGTAAACCCTAACCCTAACCCTAACCCTAACCTAACCCTAACCAGAAAAATAAAATAAAAATAATAACTAAACAGATGGGATTCGAACCAACGACCTTTCAGACGTAACGCACTTGCTCTACGTGCTCGGCTATTCAGGATTATTGAAAATATTACATGAAATATGCTAAATAAGCAAATACCCTGGTATGTAAAATGTGTATTTCTCCCTGGTGCAAAAATCGTTCCGAATAGTACTTACAACCTGGCACACTGCGCCACCTATTGACTAGAAAGAGCACTGCCTATATCTAACAGCACTGCCTGATGTAACGAGACGTGCTCTGATTGATGGAAATTAGATCAAATTAGGTTAATGATGTTTCCATCCGTATCCCGAGTCGTATGACGTAGAACACCCTACTTTTTTATTAAAAAAACACACTCGATATGGTCACTGCTAACCTCAGATAAAATCATTACCATTTGCCACCGAGATTCAAGGCATTTCCAGCATTTTCTCGACAATTTTCACTCGGGATCCAATGCATTCACAGTACTAGGCAGTCTATAATAGGCTCTATGTTATAGACCCTATTATGGACTCCCTGGCAGTACATACCGTGAGACTAAATATGAAGTAGTTAATGACGGTGTGCAGGCGGCGATTGCGCACGATCACAGCACACACCATCGCGTTCAGCACGACACCCGTCACCAGCAGCGACACGTAGATCGTCCATAACCAGACGATCCAGACTGCCGACATGCCGTCGCCCGTCGCGTTACGCGCGTGCCACGAGAAGACGTCGTCAGTGTAGTTAGTAGACAGCTCCTCGTGATCGTTGTCCGGCATGTTGCGCCCTCTGTTGGTGGGAAACGAGAGGAATTGCGAGCACGCCATTAGACACGAATTACTAGCACTCATGATTGCGTAACGGCGCACTAATGCGTTGTGATAAACTCACTGGTAAATATCTGTCAGTTATTCGGTAACTCATCAGATGTGAGTATAGTTTATTTTACGGTGCTGGGTCTTCGTACGTGCGTGCGTGTTGCGTGCATGCATGCTTGCGTGAGTGCGCGTGTCTGTGTGAGTGCGCGCGTTATGCATTCGTCGAGTTCGTCAAGGTACCGTAAACACGTAGAGAGAGGGTGGGCTTCCAGGGCCGTATAGCCTAGGTGGGGCAAGGGGCAGTTGCCCCCCTAGATTTTGGAACAAAACTAAAAAATAAGCTTAGCTAATATCCGTAAATAACCCTAAGTGATTTTTTAGTCAGTTATCCGTGAAAGCCTTGTCTCAGACCCTCCCCTACCACAATATGGACGTCGCTCATCATTACACAGCTGAGCCAGTTTGCCCGCCCCCTAGGAATTTGCTCAGCCTGCGGCCCTGACTTCACGGAGAGAGTGGATGAGGTACGGATGGTGGATCGAACACGACAGCAGCCTACGTCCAGCCTGTTCTGCTAGCATCTATGACACATACGACATACGCATATACGCTCTTCGCCTGTCTGTGTATCTGATCTGTGTTATCCGTTATCTTTTACGGGGCCGATGAGTAGGCCTCACTTCTTTTGATCACAGGCTTTATGCTAGATTCCTCATTAGTCTCTCCTGTTCGCATCTCATCAGACGCCATAACTATGGTCATGATATTCTGCGCACCACCATGATGTGACTATATGCACCCTGGTCGTCGCACAGCAAACCCGCATCGATTTATACACAAACATCGAGCATAGTATATAGCTGTCACGTAGCAACATATATGGCAAATCTTATAATAAAACTATCTAACAGTCTAATATACACACGTAATTATTAGCTGTTGATTACTATCGCGCTCTTCGGATATATGTTGAATTAATAACAAATAAAGTCTGTGTTTTTCGATATTCGACTCGCTCACATCCCTAGGTGTGGACACTATCGTCTGGCAGTGGAAATGGTGCAGGAAATAATTATCTACTCGTCCCGCCACGGCTATCTTCTGGTTGCGATTGGCAGTTTTCCTTCGTCTTGGCGAATGCTCTGTATGCTCGCCTTCGCGTTCTCTTCCGCCGCTGTTACCACGCAACTGCGTGCTCTACTCTGTGATTCCTCGTGTAGTCATCTCACCGCCAGTCCGCAGTAACGAGTAGCATGCATTCCCAAGTCTCCGCATTCACATCCCCCCCCCCCCCACATCACACACTATCACATCTGCTGGTTAATTATCCACGATTCACATTCAATTACATTCATTCACATTTCCATGCTCCATAGTTAGCACCTCCCCCCCTCCCCCCCCACCCCCCCTCCCATGCCCGGCCAGGCCGCCTCGTTGCGCGCTTCCGTATCCATGCCTATTTATTCCCGTCTCCTCGTGTAAACCCACGTCCTTACACTAACGCACCATCACACCAACACAAACATCCGACCCCGCCCCCCCACTATCCCCCCGTACTTCCGCATCCTCACAAGGCAGCAACCTCCTACACTAACACCAACTCCGCCACTCCTATCCCACAGCCAGGCGCGACTCTCTCTCATCTGCTCTCTCTCACTCTCTCTCTTCTTTCTCTCTCCCCTCTCTCTCTCTTCTCCCCTCTCCCCCTCTCTCTACTCTCTCTCACACACACACACTCTCTCTCTCTCTCTCTCTGCCTCTAACTCTCTCTCTCTCTTCTCTCTCTCTCTCTGCTCTCCTTCTCTCTACTCTCTCCTCCTCTCTCTCTCCTCTCTCCTCTCTCTGCCTCTCTCTCTCTCTCTCTGCTCTACTCTCTCTCTCTCTCTACGTCTCCTCTCTGCTCTCTCTCTCTGCTCTCTCTCTCTTCTTCTCTCTCTCTCTCGTCCTTCCTCTCCCTCTCTCTCTCCCCCCTCCTTCTCCCCCTCTTGCTCTCTCCTCTCTCACACACTCCTCTCCTCTCTCTCTCTCTCTCTCGTCTCTCTCTGTCTCTCTCTACTCGTCTCTCTCCTCTACTCTCTCTCTCCTCTCTCTCTCTCTCTCTCTCTTCTCTCTCTTCTCTCCTCCCTCTCTCTACGCTCTTTCTCTCTCTCTACTCGTATTCTCCTCTACCTCTCTCTCTACTCTCTTCTCCCCTCTCTCTCTTCTTTCCTCTCTCCTCTTCCCTCGCTCTCTCCTCACACACACACCACACACACCTCTCTCTCTCTCCTTTCTCTACCTTCTCTCTCTTTCTCTCTTCTTCCCCTCTCTACTCTCTCCGTCCTACATCTTCTCTCACTCTCTCTCTCCTCTCGTCGTCTCTTCTCTTCTCCTCTCTCTTCTCTCCTCTCTCTCTCTCTCTCTCTCCTTCGTCGCCTCGCTCTCTCTCACTACACACTCTCTCTTACTCTTCCTACATCTCTCTCCTTTTCTCTGCCTCTCTCCCCCTCTCTCCCTAGGCTCTCATTCCCCTATCGCCTCTTCCCTCTCCCTCTCTCTCACACACACTCTCTCTCTCCCCCTCCTCTCTCTCTCTCTCTTCTCTCACTGTCGCCGCACTGTGTGAGCAGAATGCGGCGGTGCGGTTTCGGGCTGTCGTCAACACGCAACGCAGTACAGCGGGCCGGTGGCTGTCGATGTTTGCTGCGGTCGCCGTTTACGCGTTCGCGCACGTAAAACACGACGGCAACTGATGGCAGCGCTGAGGTGAAGGGGGAGGGGGCTACAGCGACGGAGCGGACGTCGGCATGTCGTCTGCCTCCAGCCGAAGCTCGCGGTCGTCCGTCTGCTCCAGTGCAAGCGTGACGACACACGACACACACAACACACACACACACACACACAACACACACACACCACACACACACACCACACACCACACCACACCGTCACATCACACACACACATACCTAACACACATATATATATATATATCATGGCGCGCGGCGCCCGCTTGGATCTTCTCCACCACCTAGCTGAAGTGTTACTATGGAGAGCTGCGGCGGCGAGAATCTGTGCCTTTCGATATGATCGGCTATAGCATTACGCACATCAAAACTGCGTCTTGCTCGCTAACTAGAACCACACGACCAGGTCGAGGTTAGTGTTATCATGCCCGACGACACCGATGTAACCTACGTCATCAGCCTCCTTCTGTCCGTGGCTTACTTTCCTACACCACGCTACCAACAACCCCGCCACGCCTAGCACTACTTTATACGTTTCCTTATTTCGACCTTAATTCCCTTTCCCTAGCCCTACAGTCAGCACCACGTCCACCCATGTCCATCTAACCTCGGCCTCCTCCTACCTCCATCTACCTCGGCCTATCCCCTACTCCATCTACCTCGGCCTATCACCTACTCATCTACCTCGCCTAATCTCTACCTTCATCTAACCTCGGCCTATTCCCCCTACCTCATTCTAACCTCGGCCTTCCCTACCTCCAATCTTTAACCTCGGCCTATCTTCCATACCTCCAATCTAACCTCGGCCTATCCCTACTCCAATCTAACCTCGGCTATCCCTACTCCATCTCAACCTCGGCCCTATCCTCTACCTCCATCTAACCTCTCGGGGCTATTCCCTACCTCCATCTAACGTGAACCTATACCCCTACTCATCTTTAACCTCGGCCTATCCCCTACCTCATCTAACCTCGGCCTATCCCCTACCTCCATCTAACCTTCGCCTATCCCCTACCTCCATCTAACCTCGGCCTATCCCCTACCTCCATCTAACCTCGGCCTATCCCCTACCTCCATCTAACCTCGGCCTATCCCCTACCTCCATCTAACCTCGGCCTATCCCCTACCTCCATCTACTCGGCCTATTCTCCCTACCTCCATTCTAACCTCGGCTCTATCCCCTACCTCCATTAATCTCGGCATCCCCTATCTCCATCTAACTCGGCCTATCCCTACTCTCCATCTAACTCGCCTTATCCCTACCTTCCATCTAACTTCGGCCTATCCCTACTCCATCTAACCTTCGGCCTATCCCCTTTCTTTCACTAACTCGGGCCTATCCCCTACCTCCATTCTACCTCGGGCCTATCCCTACCTCATCTAACCTCGGCTATCCCCTACCTCCACTCTAACGTTGAACCTATCCCCTTACCTCCATCTAACCTCGCCTATTCCTCCTCCTCCATCTTAACCTCGGGCCTAATCCCTACCCATCTAACTCGGGCTATCTCCTACCTGTCGCAATCTAACCTCGGCCTATCCCCTACCTCCATCAACCTCGGCCTATCCCCTACCTCCATCTAACCTCGGCCTATCCCCTACCTCCATCTAACCTCGGCCTATCCCCTACCTTCATCTAACGTGAACCTATCCCCTACCTCCATCTAACCTCGGCCTATCCCCTACTTCTATCTAACCTCGGCTATCCCCTACCTCCATCTAACCTCGGGCTATTCCGCCTACCTTCCATTCTAACCTCGGCTATCCCCTACCTCGCATCTAACCTCGGACTATCCCCTTAACCTCCATCTAACCTCGGCCTATCTCTACCTCCATCTAACCTCGGCCTTATCCCCTACTCCATCTAACCTCGCGTCTATCCCCTACCCTCCATTAACCTCGCCGCCTATCCCCTACCTCCATTCTCAATCTCGGCCTATCCCCTTACCCTCCATCTAACTCGGCCTATTCCCCTATCCTCCATCTAAACTCTCGGCCATTCCCCTACTTCATCTAGTGAACCTATTCCTACTCCATTCTAACCTCGGCCTATCCCTCACCTCTATCTTAAAACCTCAGCCTATCCCTTACTTCCATCTAAAACCTCGGGTCTATTCCTCCTACCTCATCTAACCTCGGCCTATCCCTAGCCTCCATCTTAACCTCGGCTATCCTCTACCTCCATCTACCTCGGGCCTATCCCCTACCTTTCATCTAACTCGTGAAACCTTATCCCCTACCTCCATCTAACCTTGGTTTATCCCCTACTTCTATTCTAACCTTCGCCTTATCCCTACCTCTCATCTAACCTCGCCTAGCCCCCTACCTCCATCTAACCTCGGTTATTCCCGTACCTTTATCCAACCGCGGTCAATCTCCTACTTTTATCTCTCATCGGTTTATTCCCTACCTCCATCTAACATCAACCTACCCCGTACCTACGGGGCGCATGCAGCAATCTTGACAGGCATTTTTGTATCTATACTTGACAAAATGAGTTTTGTGACACAAAACTCTAATTTCTGCAATCCTGTCCCACAAAACTCAATTTTGTGAACACAAAACTCATATTCTGTCAAACCTGGTTCACAAACTCAATTTTGTACACAAAACTCAATTCTGTGCGAACCGGTTCACAAACTCAATTTTTGTAAACACAAAACTCATTCTGTCGAACGGTTTCCACAAACCTCAATTTTGTTGCCCAAATTTATGGCCACCCGCATGTAAGTAAGGCTACATTGTTTCTTCTGACAATGGTAGCCCTTCTTACTATGCGTGTTGCCATTTTGCGGCCAACAAATTCGATGAGCCCTGTCCTTGCATGGCGCCCCGCTACGCCATGCAGGACAGGTCTCATTCGATTTTGTTGCCCAAATATGCACACGCAATGTAGATAGGGCTACCATTGGTCAGAGAAACAATGGTTAGCCCGTTCTTACATGCGTGTGCCATATTTTGGGCAAACAAAATTGAGTTTTGTGGAAACCTGGTTCGACAGGAATTGGAGTTTTGTGAACATGATTGACAGAATTGGGTTTGTGTTCACAAATATTGAGTTTTGTGGACCGGATGACAGAATTGATGTTTTTGCTGTTCACAAAAATGAGTTTTGCTGGAACCGATTGACAGAATGTAAGTTTTGTGTTTTACAAAATCGAGTTTTGTTGCGTACAGGATTGATCAAATGAGTTTTGTTTCACAAAATGATGTTTTTGTGTTAGACAGAATTGATGTTTTGTTAGATCATGAAATTGCCCAGCCCTGTCCTTGCATGGCCGCCTCCGTAGTACTCTCCTTCTAATAGATCTTATATAAATCTAAATATAATCTATAATCTTCCCACTCCTATAACCGCCGCTGTAAAATTCCAGCTGCAACATCCGGAGTTACTCGCATTGATCGTGTCAAAGCTATATACCCTGCTGAAAAATGTCTACCCAACGCAAAATACCGACGAGATTGCAAGTGATGATTTAAAGTGCTCGCTGATTCGCGGCCATTCTGTCAGAAAATGGAACTGTCTAGGAGAAAGTGAGGAAATTAGATAGTACTTTCGTAGTTACTTGGAAATCGCAGACGCATATCAATCCACGTGATACAGCCGAAGGAACGAACGAGTGGAGGCGGATTCGCCCGAGGTTTACCGAATGAGGTACAATGGCGGCCAGCAACCACACTAGTGAAAACGACAGCCATTACCAACACAATACAAAACAAAAAAACAACACAATACAATACAATACAGCACAATACAATACAATACAATACAACACAACACGACACGACACAATGCAAAACAATATCCGGATGCTTACATAAGCACTTATGTGTTTGCGATTGTATTTTCAATTTAAAAGTTGGAAGCGATATACGGATCTTTAGTAAAATGCGGAAGTGGCGATGCTGAGTAATTTATTATTTAAACTGCGCTATCGATCCGTGTTATATCTATATATTCGTATGTATTTTACAACCAGCTATCCGGAGAGTCTAGCTTCCCACTCTCGTTCGCTACCGCATCATCGTATGCGCTAGCTGTATATCGCCTGATAATATTCCTGTAAGCAGACACTACTGGGACCCGATCCGTCCCAACGCACTCTTAAACCTAGTCTGGCAATGCTCTGTGTATCGACTTATTCCGCACACAATACACAGTGCGTATAAGTGCGTGGTTTATAACCTCCCTACTTTCTCCGACTGTTATGTAACCCGTCGCCTCTGTCCACCGCTATTACCACGTTAGCATATGAATGCATACATAAGCAGTTGGAACGTGACGATAATAAAATGCTGGTAAAACGCTGGTAAAATGCGCTGGTAAAACGCTGGTAACAATGGTAAAATGCTGGTAAACACGAAATGTATTTACTACTGAAGTTTCAATGTATTTCTATTCTCTTTCGCCTATTGTTAGTAACCTTGTATCGTAAATGCAGTTCAGACGCTCCTCTGCAACATACAATTTCACCGCAACTCACAGAAAGATAGACATAGTTATTATTACGACACATAGATATCACGATACGTGCATGACGGTGACCGCGTGCGTGTAGCAGCGCTATATTCACGCGTGCGTGTAGGAGCGTTACATACACGCGTGCGTGTAGGAACGCTACATACACGCGTGCGTGTAGGAACGCTACCACATATACGACGCGTGAGGTGTAGCCGAACGCTACATACTACGCGTGCGTTATAGGAACGCCTAAATATACATGCGTTGCGTGTATTGAACGCTACATATACACGCGTGCGTGTATGGAATGCTACATACACGCGTGCGGTAGGAACGCTACATATACACGCGTGCGTGTAGGAATGCTACATACACGTGTGCGTGTAGCAGCGCTATATTCACGCGTGTGTGTAGGAGCGCTACATACACGCGTGCGTGTAGGAACGCTACATATACACGTGTGCGTGTAGGAACGCTACATATTTACACGCGTTGGTGCTCTAGAAACGCTACATATACACGCGTGTCCGTGTAGGAATGCTACATACACTGTTGCGTGTAGCAGCGCTATTATTCACCGTCGTCGTGTGTAGGAGGCGGCTAATACACGCTCGTGCGTGTAGGAAAGCGCTACATATTACACGCGTGCGTGTAGGAATTGCTACATACACTGTGTGCGTTGTAGCAGCGCCTTATTCACGCGCTCTCCGCTGTTATGCGAACGCTACATATACACGCTGTGCGCTGTATCATGTCATGCACGTCTGTGCGTTTAGCGAGTCCCTATACACTCGTGTTAGGAACGCTCACTATATATACACTGCTGTGGTATCAGGAACGCTACTTATACACGCGTGGTGTAGAAACGCTACATATACACGCGTGCGTGTAGGAAGTCCTACATACAGTGTGCGTATGTAGCCCAGCCGCTATATCTCACGCGTTGTGTGTATGAGCGCTACATGCCCACGCGTGCGTGTTAGGAACGCCTAATATTACACGTGTGCGATGTTAGGAACGCTACATTCATACACGGTTATCCTC